GTTAATTGCCAAAACGAGTTATCAATAATTTGGATACATAAACGACCCGGGGGCTGGGAAGGGGGAAAAGGGGAAGGAGTTGCATGTCTGCATGGTCTTAAATGTTAGAAACTCTAAAAATTCGTGAATATTAACCCAGCCGTTTCCCACTTGTCATCATTATTTACTGATCTTCACACAACAAACATGTGGCTTTATTAAATCAATAGATTATGGACTTTTTGGTCATATGCCTAGCTCTCCCTTGAATCAGGAATGGTGAAATAAATATTTTAAGAATGATTAAGAATTAAAACAGATCTTGTATAATCTCTTAAAATTGATTAAGCTCTGTAGTTGAATTAGCTATACTGGTATAGCTTGGTTTTGCTATTAAAAACACTTTGATTTAGCTATTTAATCATACTTTTTTTAAATGTACATTTTTATCAATACAGATAAAAGGTGCACTATGCTGACATGAATATAAATTTTCAGCTTTGAGTTTTCTGAAAACAATTGCTTTTCAAATATTGTGTCACTTGAGAATTTGCTATTACAAATATATAAAGTTTTGCATGGGGCTATGTACCTGGGGTAATCTCTCTCTCTCTCTCTCTCTCTCTCTCTCTCTCTAACATCTACTTGAGTCAAAATGGAATTATAAGACAATTTTTTTTAATGATGACATTTTAGGATTTTACACTAATTCATCACTGTTCATACTGCACTAGAATGATGCCCCTCCCAGAAATGTAAAAAAAAAAATAAGTTTACTCACTATCTTGTCTTTGATCTATATCTATAATTACAAAAAGACACAGCCAGAAGTCTTTTATCTGGTTTGTTACAAATTTCACATGGAAGTCCTATTAACTTGCTCAAGATCAGTAGAAATGAACTCGACCAGTTATGCTTGAAAAGTACTCACTGTGAACCTTACTTGTTGAAGACAGGTAAACATACCCCTCAGGGTATAATTATTATACAAAGGCCAGTACAAATTTGAAGAGTCATGATTAAATCATCATTATCTTACTTAAAATAAGAAGAGACACACTAGAGGTGTGACGAAATATTTAGAAACACAGAGTTTTATTTTTCATGTAAAATATTCTTTCTTGTGTAAAACAATTATTCAAATGAAGGGTCAAACCTTCTTTTAAGGGGAGATAAGAATGAGTGAAAATTTGAAAAATCTTCTTAAGAACCACTGGGCCAGAAAAGTTTAAAATTATGTGAAACTTCATTATATAGTGTAGATTCAACTTTGTCCAAATCATGACCTTCAGGGGTAGGGTGGGGCCACAATAGGGAATCATAGTTTTTGGAAACATGGGAATGTACAGTAAAGCACGCTTATAACTAAGTGCCTGGGACGGACGATTTTGCTTTGTTATCAGTGTAATTGCTTATATCCATTATGTTTACAATATATTTGAAAATCACTTTGCGTCAATTCATTAAATTAAGCGTGTTTTACTATAAGCATGCTCTACTGTGTAAGAAAAAAATCTTCTCAAGAACCACTGGGCAAGAATAGTTGAATCTTAAGTGAAAGATTCATTGTATAGTGTAGAAACAAATTTGTTCTTTCAAAATTCTACTCCTCCTACAGTTTTTATGCAACGAGTAGACTCTACTTTTTGTCCGTTTTCTTCTTCAATCACATTTTGTCGAAGCCGTAACTTGACAACCCTTTGACATTAAGACTTCAAACTCGGAACATGGAGAGGTGGTATGGAAGTAGGGTTGAGGCCACCAAACTTTTTTGACCTTGATCATTTGATAAGGTCAAGGTCAATTTTTACATCAAAATAAAGTCCTGGCTATAACCTGAGAACCCTTTGAAATTAGGATTTCAAACTTGTTACATAGAAAGAAGACATTTACACAAGATGCACTGCATCAAAATTTTGACACTGACTCTTCGTCATTCAAGGTCAAATTGAGAAAAACACCACCAAACCATAACTTAAGAACCTTTTGACATTAAAACTTTAATCCTGAATTATGGAGAGGTGTTATGGAGAAAAGGTGCATTCCAACAATTTTTTTACCTTGACCCATTTATAAAGTCAAGGTCAATCTTTTACATGAAAATAAAATTCAGGGCATAATGTGAGAAGCCCTTGACGTAATGAATTCAAATTTGGAACTTGGATAGAAGACATTGACACAAAATTTGATGCATCAATTTTTTTACCTTGACCCTTTCTTCATTGAAGGTCAAATTAAGAAAAAAGACAACCAGACCATAACTCATGACATCTTCAAAGACATTAAGACTTTAAACGTCATTGTTTACCCCCCATTTGACCTCTAAGGTGAAAATGAAAATTTCCGAAACCTTATTGCACATCTACAGGACACTATCAATCATCTTCCAAAAGATAATTACGCCACTGTGTGATATGTAGGAGGAGTTCTGGGAACCAGGGTCTTTTTGTATAAAAAACATTTTTCGATCCCCATTTGACCATCAACGTAAAAATGAAGATTCCGAAACCTTATTGCTCATCTTCAGGACACCACCAATCATCTTCCAAAAGATGATAAAGCTACTGCATAAAATGTAAGAGGAGTCCTGGGAACCAAGGTCTTTTTGTATAAAAACGTCATTTTTCGACCCCCATTTGACCCCCAGGGTAAAAATGAAAATTCCGAAACCTTATTGCACGTCTACAGGATACCACCAATCATCTTCCAGAAGATGATTAGGCTACTGCGTAAAATGTAGGAGGAGTTCTGGGAACCAGGCTTTTGTAGAAAAAACGACATTTTTTTACCCCCGTTTTGCCCTGAGGGTTAAATTGAAAATTCCAAAACCTTATTTCACATCTTTAGAACACACCTTTCATATTCCAAGAGATTAATTGAATTCTGCTTAAAATGTAGGAGTAGTTAGATTAAGAAGAAAGTGTTACAGACGGATGGACGGACATGAGTAACAAAAATATACCCGAAGTTTCTTTAGAAAGTGCGGGTATAAACATCAATAAAGTTATAAACCATTGTAAAACTCAATGTTTATGTAAAAACAACAATAAAGATTTTCAGGAAAGGATTGAAGATTATGTATAAAACTTTTTTAGAAGAAAACCTAAATACTGACCAACTAAGTTAAGTTAAGAAATTGTTCCAAATGAAATTAAAACATATGGCTCAGTGGTTTTTTTGTAAAAGATATATAGTTAAAAACTATTTAACTTAATATTGCATACCAGAGAATTCCAATATGCATGGAGAAAATCATTCATTATTCTCATCTATAAATTTGAAGATAAGATTGACCTAAATAATAATAGAGGTAACTCACTCCAGAACTGTATAGCAAAACATTTAGTGCTGCACTTAATAAAAGATTAATGCTACATTATGATAAATTATTCTAAAAAAAAAACATTTTGGCTTTAGAACAGATCAAAGAACAACAGACAACTTTTTGTTATTAAATCTTTAATAACAAAATATTTTGTTCGAAATAGAGTAAAAAATATGCCTGCTTTGTAGATTTGCACAAAGCATTTGACACTGTTTGGTACAATGGAATTCTATATAAATTGTTGAACAATCAAATTGGCCAAATTGTTTTAAGTATGCAGTTCATGTGAAGAAGCTGTTAAGATTGTAAACACTCATTCCAATTATTTTATACGAGATAGAGGAGTAAATTAAGGGGATAGTATAAGTCCATCATTATTCAACTGATTTAATAATGACATGCTAGATTCATTTGATCAGTCATGTGATCCACTCGTACTCAAACACACACATGTATCTAGATTAAGTTTTGCAGATGACCTTGTTCTGCTCTAAGAGTACCATATTGCTTTACACAATACAATGAACAAATTTGTAGAATAATTACTTAAATTGGCAACTTTTGTTAATGCTACAAACACAAAAGTTTTATTTCTTCAAAAAATATATAAACCAACCCCTGTTTTTTTTTTTTTAATGATAATCACCCTCTTGAAGAAGTAAAAGGATATATTTTCCGTTTAACAATAATTGATCACAAAGGTAGTTAAAACAAAGGAATACTGGAGCTGTCTATGAAAGGCTTAAAAGTAATATTCTCCCTAAGAAAAAAAAATTCTTTAGTTTCACACAATTACCTGTGAATTTGTCTTGTAAATTATTTGACACTCTTTGTTGGCCCTATTTTATAGCTTAATAGTGAAATATCGTTTATGGATGATAATCATCCTTCATAAAGAGCAATACTTAGAGCAATGAAAAATAACAATTCATGTGATAAGCTCTCTTTACAAGAAAAATATGTCGATGGAAAAGTACATGTTAGATATTGTAAAACAGTTCTATGACTCAGCAATATAGCATGCAATATTTCATCATTGTGTGAACTTGGTAGACTTCCAGTTTTTTTCTTTTAATAAAACTCAAGTTATGATGTACTTTGTACGGCTAAACTCTCAGAATGTAAACCCCATGGTTGAAGAATCTTATGATATCAATATGTCTTTGCACGAAGATGGACTTTACTCATGGCATACCCTTGCGCCGTCTATTTAAAAACTAAAATTATATATTAACAGTTTCTTTATACATTGAAAAAATTGCAGCCCTCCATTGACAAGTGGTGGCTTCTCGATATGACTGATAAATTCTCGAAAGAGATGCTAAACAAAGAAACAAGCAAACATAAATTTACTACTTCCCTTTACCATTTCATAACTGAATAATATTAATGGAGTAAATATTTTTATGTAGTGTAAATTCAATTTTCTTACTGATCAAAAGGAGATGTATTTGGGCTTTCAAGAAGATAAGAATGGACACAAGCATAATGTTCAGTAGCTCTAGAAAACTTTAATAATGATACACAAGTGACACTGCTATAGCAAATGGGGATCTTATTTTACTGAATTTTATAATAGGAAACAATTTTTGAAGCAAAAATTTAGAAAGACCATTTTTTTTTATTTTCACAGATCAGTGTTATTCTATTTTAAAAATAAAGTAATTTTTTTTCTTTTTTGACAATCATTTTACAGGTGAATACAGTCAGTTCCATTGTTACAAGGGAGACGTATCTTGCAAGCCTTGTCCTGAAGTGCATCACTCATGTGTTGGTCTACCTGATGGTGACAATGCCATCTTGGGACTCACATGGACCTCTATGTACATCACGTGTTTGTTAAACAGAACCATTGCAGAAAAAACATGTGAGAATGGTGTATTTGATCCTCAAAAGAGAATATGTACAGCCCCTGTGATACTTGGTAGGTCACTTTATTCTATAAAAGAGAGCTGACATAGTCATGTAGCAACTGGGTACAGGGTAATACTTGGTAAGTGAAGTTTATACCTCTAAGCAAGGTATGATAGTTATTTACAAATCAAGTATAATCCCGTACACTGGTCATTATACATGACTGTAACTACATGTAATACTACAGGTATTATATAAAGGGGTTATCACTGTTTTAACATCAATGATATTAATATTATGATATTATTAGCACAGCTCATGAGCTTTTCTGATCACATTTTGTCCTAGGTCCGTCTGTCTGAAATCTTTTCACATTTTCGACTTCTTCTCCAGAACCACTGGACCAATTCAATTTCAACCAACCTTGCCACAAAGCATCCTTGGGTGATGGAGATTCAATTTTGTTGAAATTAAATGCAACGCCCTCTTTCAAAGGGAGATAATAAAGAATTACAGAACCGACCAGACACAACATAACACCAGAGTGAACCCCCAAAGCGAACACCGGGTTCGCTTTGTGTTCGCTTGGGGTCCGCTATTAAAAAATCTGGGTGTGCTCCGGGTTCGCTGTGCTTTTACTCGGGGTCGTTCTGGGTCCGCTTAAGCAAACCCTGCGTTCGCTTTCACTCAAGCATGAAGCGGACCCCCGTTTTATCTTACCGCGTGTTAGCTCCACCCCTTACATATTCCAAATGAACATTAGTTGAAATGGTTCATTTCAGCATTCGGAAGCACGTATGATCCTGCAAGCGGCAATTAAAAGACATTAATAATTATACCAGAATATCACACTATATTGTTCTACGCATTATTTTCACGGACCAAGAATTATTATGGGAAGAGGACAATTTTTGTTCCTTTGTGTTTTTGTTTGCATAAATATTTTTATAACAGAGTGAACAGTAATTTACAGGAAAATATTTTAAGTTGAGTAGTGGTGTACATATGTTTTGATTAAATTGCTACGGATTAAGGGTAAGAAAACAAAAATCTTTTACATTTAAAAAAAATATTTTCTCAAATTTCTTTATTTTTTGTCAATCAATCCATAAATCGCATTAAAAAATTAAACGGCAGACTAATTGGTGACATAAAGGTACATTGTATGATTGTTTGTACAGTAAAGTTTTTGTTAGGTTCGATGTTTTAGGAAATATATGTATACTGATCGAATTCTTTTGCATCGACTTTGGTCATGACATGCTTTGTTGCTTAATATAATACCCATTATACTCTTAATAATATTTCCTTTAATGGAAAATGCGTTGTCTCGACCGTCAAACAATTATTTATCAAAACAAACGTTACCCGAAATGATTTAAAACTAAAACAGAAACTCCATCCCCACCCCCACCCCACCCTAACCCCCAACTCCCCACCCCTCACCCCCACCCCAAAGCATTTTATAATAATTTTGTCTTGATGCAGAATTTGTACATAACGATTTGTTTCTTTCCATGTATATATATTTCAGACTTCCGTCGCTGTGAAGATCACATTTATGTGCATGTTTTCATCAATTTCAAGCGTCATTTAGAGAGTTATACAAATAATTGATATTTTATTAAAGGTTTTTTTTTTTTCTTTTTCGTCTTATGAAGAATTCTTGAAAAACAAAAAAAAAAAAGTTAAATCCCACAAAGAAAAAGAACGACTAAATATAGTTATAACGAAGAATATTATCACTGGTTTAATTTAATTTATTGGCAGTAAGCGATCAAACATTAAGAGTGAATTAATAAAAAGTAAGATGAAATTAAAGATGACAGAAAAACAAGGGAATATACAGAATATCTTGTAAAATTCTACTTCTAAAGTCTGACGAGGCATGTGACTCGATTGTTTCTGTATAATATGTATTAAGTCACGTGCCTCACCTTCCGGGTTATGTGATCCCCCCCCCCGCTTTCACTAAAAGTGGGGGGTATTAATTTGGCCTGTCTGTCCGTCCGTCCGTCCGTCCCTCCGTCCGTCCGTCTGAATTTCTGTCTGTCTGTAACATTTTCGTTTCCGTGCGACATCTCAAGAAGCCTTTGAGCTTTCGCAAAGAAATTTTACATAACAACTCCCTATGGTCTAAAGAAGACCCCTATTGATTTTGAGGTCAAAAGGTCAAGGTCATAAAAACATAAATTTTGTCTGTTTTAACACTTTCGTTTCCGTGCGATATCTCGAGGAGCCTTAGAGCTTTTGCAATGAAATTTTACATAACAACTCCTTGTGGCCTAAGGAAGACCCCTATTGATTTTGAGGTCAAAAGGTAAAAGATCAAGGTCGTAAATACATACATTCTGTCTATGTGTAACGCTTTCGTTTCCGGGCGATATCTCAAGAAGCCTCTGAGCTTTTGCAATGAAATTTTTTATACTTAACTCCCTTTGGCCCCGACCGCCCCTCTCAGAGTGTCCCACTCCGTTTTTTTTATTTTGATCATTTTTTTTTGTAAAGTCAAATGGAAATGTGTTGGCATCGATCACGCTCAAAGTTTAAGAGTTACTCCCCGTCAGTATTAAAAGTCGCGTGGCACTTTTTTTTAGCACAGGAGCATGTGGAGAGTTATTATATACAGTACAGTCGGCAGACTTTATATTCTAATTACATCTGTAACGAGAGAAGAGAAAAATGCAGCGGACCAGACCGGGATTCGAACCTGGGCCCCCCCCCCCAGAATCTCCAGTCAGGTGCTCTACCAACTGAGCAATCTGGCCACCAGCGATCGAACCCGTCTGACCGCCACACATCTATTAGGACTGTTAAGTAAAAGCTAAATTGCACGCATGTGTTGTGTAAAATTTTGACGATATCGAACGTGAATGTATACATGGAGATGTAACCTGCTGTTTGCATTTGATTTGTATCAATGTCAAGCGCTTCGTTAGGTCTAGGGGTATGATTCTCGCTTTGTATGCGAGAGGTCCCGGGTTCAAATCCCGGACGATCTCGTATTTTTCTTTTTTGAATTTGTTTTTTCCAATTTACTAAACGATAGCATTCAACATATGAAATGAAGAAGTTATGATGTCTGGCGTGTACAAACCTTCTCATAAAATCATTTTACAGTGTAATAAATATTTTATATAAAAAGAATCATTTGTTCACATTTCAAAGAAAAAGCAATCATATCTATATATCCATATTGGTATTTTTTATTTGTTTCAGTATATACATTTAATAACTCTGCAAATCCAGGAGGGTTCGAACCCCCAACCCCCATCTGTGCATGCTCTTCTTTTTTTCTTAAACGGGGGACACAAATTTTCTGACTTAGCTTGTTTAAGATAGAATGATAGAATAATATACTTTATCCCATGATTTATTTGGAAAAAATATAGACAAAAATAGGGTGGGGTCATTAAAAAATCTTCTCAAGAACCACTGGCCCAGAAAAGCTGAACCTTACGTGGAAGAATCCTTGGGTAATATAGATTCTAAATTGTTCAAATCATGACCCCGGGGGTAGGGCAAGACCACAATAGGGAATCCAAGTTTTATATAGAAATATGTAGACAAAAATCTTTAGAAATCTTCTTCTCAAGAACCACTGGGCCAGAAAAGCTGAAACTTACGTGGAAGAATCCTGGTGTAGTGTAGATTCTAAATTGTTCAAATCATGACCCCTGGGTGTAGGGCGGGGCCACAATAGGGAATCCAAGTTTTACATTACAATATATATTTAAAATCTTTAAAAATCTTCTTCTCAAGAACCACTGGACCATTAAATATGAAGCTTATGTGAAAACATCCTGGTGTAGTGTAGATTCTAAATTATTCAAATCATGACCCCTGGGTGTAGGGTGGGGCCACAATAGGGAATCCAAGTTTTACATTACAATATATATTTAAAATCCTTAAAAATCTTCTTCTCAAGAACCACTGGACCATTAAAGCTGAAGCTTATGTGAAAACATCCTGGGGTAGTGTAGATTCTAAATTATTCAAATCATGACCCCGGTGGTTGGTGGGGCAACAAAAGGGAATCTAAGTTTTACATTGGATAGGTAAAAAAATAAACCTTCAAAAACCTTCTTGTCAAGAACCACTGGGCCAAAAAAGCTGAAACTTACGTGGAAGCATCCTGGGGTAGTGTAGATTCGATTTTAAATTGTTCAAACCATGACCACTGGAAGAAAGGCGGAGGGAATCCAATTTTCACATTGAAATGTGTAGAAAAAAATCTTTACAAATCTTCTTCTCAAGAAACACTGGACCAGAAAAGCTGAAACTTAATTAAGTAGAAGCACCTTGAGGTAGTGTAGATTCTAATTTGTTCAAATCATGACCCCTGGGGTTAGGGCGGGGCCACAATAAGTACTACAAGGGGGGGGGGATCAGGTGAAAAAAAAGCAAGGCCAAAGTTACTCAGGGGAGCGTTGTGGCCCATGGGCCTGTTGTTTGTTCTTAATTGGGGATATAAATACCCTGAACTAGCTTGTCAGTATTGATACATACAGGTCTTGCATGCAACTGAAATCTATTTAAGGATGATATAAACATACTTGTTTTATCATCGTACATGTATTAAATAACAATATATAGCTACAAACATTTTATAAATCCCCTCCTTACTCTTACATATGACAAAACGATTTCTTTGTACAGTACATGTAATTATGTTCCCAAAACAAAGTTTGGGAACATATTGCTTTTACTCTGTTTCTTATTATCAAGTTATGGACATTTTTCTGATTTTGAAATGACATTTTATCCGCGCGAGATCTAAAGAACGGCTAAAGATATGAACGGAAACTTATTGGAGAGCATAGAACATGACTTCTAGATATGTGGGTTTGCCTTTACGTGCGTCGTGAGTACTTCCGGTCGCTACCGGAAGCGAATTAAAAAAAGTCAATTTTTTCAACTTTTACGTTTTTCAATATTTTTCTTTGATTTTAATAGGGTTAATAGAGACTCTTATTGTAATGCTTAACATATAATTTGTTTTTAAAATTGTCTACCAGAATACATTTTAAAAATAGATTTTTTAGACAAATCTTGTGCACGCAATATCTC